CAGCGGCTCAGCGACAGGCAGCGATGTCCAGCCTGGCGATGTCCAGCCTGGCGATGTCCAGCCTGGCGATGTCCAGCCTGTCAATGTCCAGCCTCTATGCATTCTGATGTCCAGCCTACTGATGTCCAGCCTATCAATGTCCAGCCTATGCACTGATTGATGTACAGCCTACTGATGTCCAGCCTAGCCCCACGCTGCCCAAGTGCCCGGCCTCTCCCGGCTGGGGCAAAGGGCCGATCGGTGGGCGCAGGAGGAGAGGCCGATGGGGCAGCGTGGTGGTCCTCAGCCCCAGGAGCCTGTAATGGCAGGCACCCGGCCTTGCTTAGCAATTATTTTTGCTTCTTTTCAATCAAGCTTACGTAAGCAATATCCTCCATCACCTCTGCAAGCGCACGGGTGGCAGATCCCCCAAGATGGGATCGTTTGGGCCCTTGCAGCCCTTTCCCTGCGGATCACGGGTCCGGCTGGCTCTGGCCAAGGGCTGTCCTGGTTGCTCCAGGAAGGCGAGGCGGGGGCAGGCAGGCAGCGCAGCACTGAATGACCTAGAAACCGCCCACAGCTCCCACGCTGCTTCGGCTTTCCAGGGAAGGGGGGGGAGCAGCAGCGCCCGCTGCAGAGCAGGCAGGTGGAGCTCAAAGGTTTGGGAGCTGGAAGATCCCTGGCATCACAGAGGCTGCAAAAAGATGCAAAACCTTGCTCATGCTTCTTATGCTGAGCCTCGCAGGAAGCCAGCTGCACCCAGGGATAACAGCTCTGCATCCAGATGGGCATTCCCTTCTTTCATGCGGGGATGAACTTCCTCCTGCCTGCCTGGCAGCAGTGCCTCTGCCTGGCCCCTATTCCAGAAACGCATCGTGCCCGATTCTTCCCTCTGTTACCACATCCCAGTCCCTGGGAAGGGCGCAGGAAATACACGCTGCGGAACAGGTATCACACGGCCACATTTGTCGTGTTTGCAGCTGCAGCGCCCCAGGTTAGAGGAAGGCGTGCACCTGGAGTTTCCATCCTGGCCCTTTCATTAGGCAGCAGAACATCTATTTCTGGCTGCTGAGCTTTTTTGGGCACAGCGCAGCAAGCCAGCGCTTCCATTTCTAGCTCAGAAACAGATCTTTTGTGGGTTTTCATTTTCCTTCTCCACTCCTGCCACTCTGCTGCTCTGCAGTGGGGTCTTTTGCTCCCCTGCGGGGACCAAGGTTCGGCTCCCTGCATCCAGCCCTGGGATGGGGCGCGGGGACGGCACCGCCAGCCGTGCCCCGGTAAAAGGGACCTTTTGGCAGGAGATCGCGGGGACAGCCCTGGGAGATCAGCACCGCGACAAAGCATGAATCCATAGCTCACTGCTGTATAACCCTCCTTAGCAGCCTGCAATAAGCACTTTATCCACAAAACATTTATCTCCTCCAGAAAAGAAGGCGCAAGCTGTTTCATGAGAACATTTTTCTGCTGTTGTCTTTTACGCCTGCCCATTCTATTGATCATGTCTTCCTCGCTTTAAAGCGGGCCCAAGCATCGGTAAAAAGGTAAATTATTCTCTGCCATTGCATTGTGAAAAATGTAAACTCTGGGTATTAGAACTGTTCACATGAA